TCTCGATCTCCTGACCTCGTGATCCGCCCGCGTCAGCCTCCGAAAGTGCTGGGATTACAAGCATAAACCACAGCGCCCGGCCTCACTTCATTCTTTCTTAAACCTTCTAAGTCAGAAATGAAGAGTGCCTCATGCTAGATGTGACTTTGCCATGCCAAGGTGATGATCAAAAGAAGTTACCAGCTTCCTTTACTTCTCCTTTTTTAAGAAAATAGGGGCAGGCGCGGTGGCTCACGCCTGTAATCCCAGCACTTTAGGAGGCTGAGGCGGGCAGATCACGAGGTTAGGAGTTCAAGACTACCTGGCCAACATAGTGAAACTTGAACCTGGGAGGTGGAGGTTGCAGTGAGCTGACATCGTGCCATTGCACTCCAGCTTGGGCAACAGAGTGAGACTTCGTCTCAAAAAAGTAAAATACAATAAATAAAGCAGAATAATTAATTTTGAAGAAGCCCTTTTGCCTCTAAAATAGTTAATTTTCAGCCAACTGGAGCCCCTCAAAGTGTACCCTACAAACCCAAATTATTCAAATAAAGCATAGTGGCTTGTTATCACCAACAACCAAATCTATGTTTTTTGATCATTTACATGCCGAGGACTGTATTCTGAAGGCTTTATGATAAATTTAAATTAATTTTTCAATTTTAGCGCTAGCTCATCATAATAGTAACTAACAGCACTTACTGTGTGCCAGATACTATTCTAAGGACCAAACATACTTCATTTAATCTTCATAACAACCCCAACAGATATCTCCATCTACACAGTGGGGAACTGAAGCACAGGAGGTAAGATAACATGCTCAACATCACAAAGCTAATAAATAACAGAACTAGGATTTAGTTGTTACTCCATGTGGTCTAGCTTCAGAGCTTGTGCATTGAATCACTATGCCATGATGCTTCCTAAGAATTCTGTGAGTTAGTCATCTCATATTACAGAAAAAAAAAAAAAAAGTTAAATTATTGATCCTGATCTGTATTCTATGCTTAAAAGTGGATAGTTTTGGGCCTGGCATGGTGGCTCATGCCTGTAATCCCAGCACTTTGGGAGGCCGAGGTGGCTGGATTACCTGAGGTCAGGAGTTTGAGACCAGCCTGATCAACATGGCAAAACCCCGTCTGTACTAAAAATACAAAAATTAGCCATGCGTGATGGCGTGCGCCTGTAATCCCAGCTACTTAGGAGGCTGAGGCAGGAGAATCACTTGAACCTGAGATACAAATTGCAGTAAGCCCAGATGGCGCCAGCACGTCAGCCTGGGGAAGAGAGCAGGACACTGTCTCCAAAAAAAAAAAAAAAGTGGATAGTTTTGTAGCTTTGTGAGAATAGCAGCAACTTAGCCTCCTAACAAATGCTAAGTGATTATAACTTGAACCAACTGGTCTGAAACTTATTGACAGGCCAGGCCTGTAACTCTTAAGACCCTGATCTTTCCAATACACCCACATATGTTATACCCAGGAGTAATGCAGATATTAATAAATGTAAGCCTGGGGTCAGAAAACTTCCTCACAGCACATTTGTATATATTTTTTGGAGAAATGTATTGCGGTTAAATCAGCATTGACACTTTGACATTTGTTTAACAAATGGTAGTCCAGCCTCCACCCTGTGTGGTTTGAGGAACATTGAGAAGTGAGGTAAGATAAGTGTGACAATGGTTAATTTTAGGTGTCAACTTGATTGGGATTACCTGGAAAACTAACAAAGGATTATTTCTGGGTGTGTCTATGAGGGTGTTTCCCAAGAAGATTGCCCCTGGGTTAGTGGACTGAGTGGGGAAGATCCACCCTTGATGTGGGCAACCATCCAATCAGCTGTGGCCCAGAAAGAACAAAAAGGTGGTTTCCTCTGTGCCCTGGAGCTGGGATACACTCTTCTCCCATCCCTGGACAGCAGAACTCCAGGCTTTCTGGCGTTGAGACTCCAGGTTACACTAGCAGCCTCCTGTGTTCTCAGGCCTACCGCCTCAGAGTTATGCCATCTGGTTCCCTGGTTCTGAGGCCTTCAGAGTTGAACTGAGCCATACTACCAGCTTTTCCAGGCTCTCCAGCTGGCGAAGGGTGTATGTATCATCAGAGTTCTCAGCCTCCATAATCACGTAAGCCAATTTCTCCAATACATTCCTTCTCATATATCTATCTATATCCTTTTGGTTCTGTCTCTCTGGAGAACATTAATACATCTTCCTTTTTTTTTTTTTTTTTGAGACAGAGTTTCGCTCTCGTCGCTGGAATGCAATGGTGTAATCTTGGCTCACCGCAACCTCCGCCTCCCGGGTTCAAGAGGAGCTCCTACTTCAACCTCCCAAGTAGCTGGTATTACAGGCATGCACCACCATGCCTGGCTAATTTTTTGTATTTTTAGTAGAGATGGGGTTTCTGCATGTTGGTCAAACTGGTCTCAATCCCCCAACCTCAGGTGATCCGTCCACCTCGGCCTCCCAAAGTGCTGGGATTACAGGAGAGAGCCACCACGCCCAGCATACATCTCATTCTATCTGTCCTGCAGCACATCTTAATGTTGTAACGTGGACCGGAGGCACACAGTTCATGGGCTGAATAATATTCCATTTTATGTATCTACTACATTCTCCTTCATCTGTCTGTTGATGAACAAACACTTGAGTTTTTTTGCCACCTTTTGGCTATACTGCTATGAACATGGGTGCAGAAGTATCTGTTTGAGACCCTGCTTTCACTTATTTTTAGTATATGTCCAGAAAGAAATTGCTGGGTCATATAATTCTATGTTCAAGTTTTTTAGAACATGCCATACCATTTTCCACAGTGGCTGAGTATTCTACATTCCCACAAGCATGCATAAGGGTTTCAATCTTTCCACATTCTTGCCAATCCTTATTTTCTGGTTTTTTTTTTTTTTTTTTTTTTTTTACTAAAGCCATCCTGGTGGCTGTGACCTGGTATCTCATTGTGTTTTTGACTTGCATTTCCCTAATTAATGGTGTTGAGTATCTTTCAATGTGCTTATTGGCCATTGGTATATTTTCTTTGGAGAAATATCTACTCAAGTCCTTTGTAAGATAAACTTTTGATCACAGTTTGTTTATTTATTTAGAGAGGGGCTCGCTCTGTTGCCCAGGCTGGAGTGCAATGGTGCGATCTCAGCTCACTGCAACCTCTGCCTCCCGGGTTCAAGTGATTCTTGTGTGTCAGCCTCCCGAGTAGCTGGGATTACAGATGTGCACCACCACACCTGGCTAATTTTTGTATTTTTAGTAGAGACAGGGTTTCACCATGTTGGCCAGGCTGGTCTGGAATTCCTGACCTCAGGTGATCTGCCCACCTTGGCCTCTCAAAGTACAGGGGATTATAAGTGTGAGCCACCGTGCCGGCCGACCACAGTTTAACAACTATCCCTGGAAAGTGGTGCCAACGTAGTTTTATTAAGCACTTAAAAAAAAGTGAAATGCTTTTTTTTTTTTTTTTTTTTTTTAAGACACGTTCTTACTCTGTTGCCTAGGCTGGAGTGCAGTGGCACAATCTTGGCTCCCTGCAGCCTCCACCTCCTGAGTTCAAGCAATTCTCCTGTCTCAGCCTCCTGAGTAGCTGGGACTACAGGCTCACACCACCACGCCCAGCTAATTTTTGTATTTTTAGTAGAGACGGGGTTTCACCATATTATTCAGGCTGGTCTTGAACCCCTCTCAGGTGGCCCACCCGCTTCAGCCTCCCAAAGTGCTGGGATTACAGGCGTGAGCCACCACGCCCAACCAATGGTTTCTTTTAGGCAACAAAAAGAGAATTGATTATACTTTTGGTAATTAAGACCAACAAGTACAAAATGCATTGTGAAGGACCAAAACAGACAATCTTTACTGGAACTCCCCGGGACAGGGTAAGACCCATATTTCCTACCCTTCTTTGCACTTAGGGTATGAACAATATTTATTGAGTACCTACTGGATTGGGTACCATTGCTGCTATAACAAATTACTACACATTTAGTAGTTAAAACAACACAAGTGTATCGTCTTACAGTGCTGAAGGTCTTAAGTCTAAAATCAAAATTTGTGGGCTCGGGTTCCTTCCGAAGGTTTCAGGAGAGAATCCGTTTCCTCCTTTTGCAGCTCCTACCTGCACTCCTTGGCTCATTACCTCTTTCTGACATCACTCCAACCTCTAGCTTCTGTGCTCACAGCTCCCACTACTGACTTTGAACTTCTTGTCTCCCTCTTATAAGGACCTTTGTGATTCCGTTGGGTCCACTGGATAATCCAAGTTAATCTTCCCATTTTGATCCTTAATCACATCAGCTAAGTCCTGTCTGCTACATAAGGTGACATATTCACGTGATGTGGGGATTAGGAGGTACACATTTTTGGGGTGCCATCATCCTACCATACCTGAGAGTTCAACGAGAAGTTATTGCATTCAATATATTCTGCAGAGATCATTTTTACCTTAGATTGTTTTAACTACCCACCTCGTGGACCCCTCGGCAAAGGTCTTTCCATTCTGCTACCAGCCTCTGGTCCATAGGACGAACTAGTGGTATGAACTGAACTTTGCTGATAGAAAATATCACAAACACACAGCCGCCGTCCTTTTTTATTCTTGTTTTGGTAGAGAATTACAAGATAATCAAGGCAGCTTTCCGTATTAACTCACGATAACAACGGGGCCTACCCGCGTCGCCCTAGGCAGCCGGGAGCAGCAGTAATGCCTCTAGGGCGCCCTGGCAACCACGCGGGCTGGACCGCCTTCTTCCGCGGCTCTTCTCGTGTGCGCGTCCCTGGCCCGGCCTCCAGCTCCGCCCGCGTGGAGCCCCGGCCTGGCCGCCTGCCCGCCGCGCTCTGTGACGCCCGCCGGGAGGGCCGCGCGAGGCCCGGCGTGCGCCCCCGCCTCTCCCGAAGCGCCGGGCCCCGCGCCGCCCCTCCTTTCCCTTTCCGCTCTCTCCGCCTCCGGAAGCGCGGGCGCGCGGCGCCGGGAGCCCGTTCAGGGTCGCGGGAGTACGCCAGCGCCGCGCGTGGGGCTGTGGCGGCCGCGGCTCTCAGGTGAGGGGCGCGCGAGCGGCTCCTGCCTCCCTGCTCGCGGGGTCACGCTCCTTTCCGTTCGAATCCGTTTCCCCGCTCCGGAGCCCAGGCGGCGGCGAGTACTCGGGGTGGGTTTAACGAAGCCTGCGCGGGCGGTGGGAGGCCGCGCCCCCACGACAGAGGCGCCCGTGGCGGCGGGTCCCGGCGCCGCCGCACCCCGTTCCCCGGCGAGAACGGTGGGTCCCGCCCTCTCACGCGTTCCGGGTGGCGTTGAGGGTCGGGATCATCCCTAAATTGAGATTGGGCCGCGACCACATGCAGGGCCCTGACGACTGCCTCCTACCTCTAAGTACTCGAACCTATCCCACGAGGCCCGAGGGACCATTTGCCTTCCGGGGACGGTAGGGGGTGTGGACAAGAGCCCAGAGTTCCTGGAAACAGGTGTTTAATTTGGGCCGGGATTTTCATGTACCCAATTGGGTATCTTGTTGGAGGCCTATTGTACTATTTAACTACAGAAATGTCACAGTAACAAGATGACAGTTTAAAAAGTGTCCGGTGCTTTTCTGTGTATTTTCCTGATGTTCGGTGAAAGCGCTAGTCGGGTTACTGCTGACTGTAGGACCTGGCAAGTGGGGTGTGTCCAGTGACTCCCAGGCAGCTTTGGTGAAAACTTGCCTCTGTCTCTATTTTTATTTTTTGAGACAAGGCCTTGCTCTGTGCCTCAGGGTGGAGTGCACGATCATGTCTCACTGCAGCCTCCCAAGTCCTGGGCTCAAGCCATCCTCCTGTCTCGGCCTCCCAAAGTGCCGTGATTACAGGCGTGAGCCACGCCCCTCCTGGCAAAGCTCTGTCTTGATTGAGCACCAGAGGGTTGTTATGGTCTGATGAACTATCCTTTAATTTTACCCTTTCCTAGTCTGTTGTAAAGAGAGTCTTAACTACTTTATTAAGTCATTTTTCTTATTTATTCTCTGTGGTAAATTAAATCACTTCGTAGTAAATGTTATCAAAAGAATTGCTTAGTGGATGGGAATGTTGGGTAAATTTTCCTGTAAATTAAGTCACATGAGTGTTTAAATCTTTACAATAACGCTGTTGGATGTTATTAACCAAAATTTAAACCTGAAAAGTCTCACAGGCACCGGACTACGCACCATGGCGCGTGAACTGTGGCCATTTAGGGAGGCAGCCGGCTTCCAGCTCTTGGGGACTTGTATGACCTTACCATAGATGCAGATAAAGGCATAGTTCTGGTGTGTGTATCTGGAGGGGTGGGGGAAGAGGACAGCAAACTATCAAGGAAACTAGGCTGAAACACGGTGATTTTTTTTTTTTTTTTTTTTTTTTTGAGATAGGATCTCACTCTGTTGCCTAGGCTGGAGTGCAGTGGCCGGATCTCGGCTCACTGCAGCCTCAGTTCCCAGGTTCCAGCGATTCTTCCACCTCAGCCTCTGGAGTAGCTGGGACAACAGGCGAGAGCTATAATGCCCGGCTAATTTTTGTATTTTTTGTAGAGGTGGGGTTTGGCCATGTTGGCCAGTCTGGTCTCAAACTCCTGGGCTCAAGTGGTCTGCCTGCCTGGGCCTCCCAAAGTTACAGGTATGAGCCTATAACATAAGCCACCACGCCCAGCCATACACATACAAGGCGATTTTTCTGCCCTTGTGGGTAGCAAAGAGCACGGCTCAATCTTAAATCTCCTAACTCCAAACTCCTTTGCAGGATAAACAGTCTTTGAATGACTAAATTCGTCAGGTTTCCATCGGGTACTGGGGATACAAAGATGAGGAAGTGACGAGGAGCTCCCCAGTCTGGCAAGGAGACAAGTGTAGGGGACGGGGGAGGGAAAAACAAAAAGCTTTTTCCTGCAGCTGGGGCTCCAGAAGTTAAACTTACCAGACAGGGGAAAAGGCATACGTATTTTATTTTATGTTAATTTTCACAATGACACAGGGCTTTTCTAGAAAACAAGTGGATAGGCCAGAAAGTTTCTATACAGTGTTTAAAAGATGATAAACTGTGGAGATGTGACATGAAGAGATCTTAAAACCAGGTGGAGGATTAGATTTCTAGGGGTTTAAACCATGGGAGTAAATAAAGGCATACCTTGGAGATATTTTAGTTGGTTGCAGACCACCACAATAAATTAAATCTCGCAGTAAAGCAAGTCGCATGAATTGTTTGGTTTCCCAGTGCATATAAAAGTTATGTTTACACTAGACTGTGGTCTGTTCAGGGTATAATGGTATTATGCTTAAGAAATGTACATACCTTATCTAAAAAATAATTTATGGCTAAAAAATGGCTGTCAATCATCTGACCCTTCAGGGAGTTGTAATTTTTTTTGCTGGTGGGGGGTCTTGCCTCACTGTTGATGGCGGCTGACTGACCAGGGTGCTGAGTGCTGAAGGTTGGGATGGCTGTGGCAATTTCTGAAAATAAGACAATAATTAACTTTGCTTCATTGACTTCTTTTCACAAAAGATTTCTGTAGTTTGTAATGCTGCTTGACAGCATTTGATCCACAGTAGAACTTTTCTTTTTTTTTTGAGACGGAGTCTTGCTCTGTCACCTGGGCTGGAGTGCAGAGGTGGGATCTGGGCTCACTGCAACCTCTGCTTCCCGGGTTCAAGCAGTCCTCCTGCCTCAGCCTCCCAAGTAGCTAGAATTACAGACATGGACCACCACGCCCGGCTAATTTTTATGTATTTGTAGTAGAGATGAGGTTTCACCATGTTGGTGAGACTGGTCTCGAACTCCGGACCTCAAGTGATCCACCCACCTCGGCCTCCCAAAGTGCTGGGATTACAGGCGTGAGCCACAGCACCCAGCCTCACAGTAGAACTTTTAAAACGAGGTCAGTCTTCTCAAACCCTGCCGTTGCTTTATTAGCTAAGTATGCTGAGTATTCTAAATCATTTGTTGTCATTTCAACAATGTTCACAGCTTCTTCGCCAGGAGTAAATTCCATCTCAAGAAACTTTCTTTGCTCATCCATAAGAAGCAAGTCCTCATCTGTTCAAGTTTTATTATGAGATTGCAGCAATTCAGTTACATCTTGAGGCACTGCTTATTTTTTCTTTTTTGAGACAGGGTCTTGTTCTGTCACCCAGGCTGCAGTGCATTGGCATGATCACAGGTCATTATAGCCTCAACCTCCCCAGCCCAAGTGATCCTCCTGCCTCAGCCTCTACAGACACGTGCCACCACACCCAGCTTTTTTTTTTTTTTTTTTTTGAGACAGAATGTCACTGTCACCCAGGCTGGAGTGCAGTGACACGAGCTCGGTTCACTGCTGCAACCTCTACCTCCCAGGTTCAAGTGATTCCCATGCCTCAGCCTCCCAAAAGTAGCTGGGATTACAGGCATGTGCCACCACACCTAGCTAATTTTTAGTAGAGACGGAGTTTCACCGTGTTGACCAGGCTGGTCTCGAACTACTGTCGTCAAGTCATTTGCCTGCCACAGCCTCCCAAAGTGCTGGGATTATAGGTGTGAGCCACCGTGCCCAGCTAATTTTGTAGTTTAGTTTTTTCTTTTAAGAAATGGGATCTCACTGTGTTGTCCAGGCTGATATAAAACTTCTGGGCTCAACTGGTCCTCCTGCCTCAGCCCTCCAAAATACCAGGCTCCACTTCTAATTCTAGTTCCCTTGCCATTTCTACCACAGCTGCAGTTCCTTCCTCCACTTAAGTCTTGAATCCCTTAAAGTTATCCATAAGGGTTAGAATCAGCTTCTTCCAAACTCTTGTTGATATTGATATTTTGACCTCCTCTGAATCATAAGTGTTCTTAATGGGGAAAGTTTTCAATTTATTTTGCTCAGATCCATCAGAGGAATTAGTATTTATAACCAATACAGCCTTACAAAATACATTTCTTGAAAAGTAAGACTTGAAAGTTGATTTACTCCTTGATCCATGGGCTGCAGCATGGATGTTGTTAGCAGGCGTGAAAACAACGTTAATCTTGCACATCTTCATTAGAGCTATTGGGTGACCAGGTACATTATCAATGAGCAGTAATATTTTGAATTTTTTTGTCTGAGCAGTCGATCTCAACAGTGAGCTTAAAACATTCAGTGAATTATGGCTGTAAATAGGTGTGCTGTGATTTGGGCTTTTTGGCTTTTTGTGTTATATATAGACCACAGGCAGAGTAGATTTAGCATAAATCTTAGGGCCCTTAAGATTTTTTCTTTTTCTTTTTTTTTTTTTTTTTTTGACAGAGTCTTGCTACCTCGCCCAGGCTAAAATGCACTGCCACAATCTTGGCTCACTGCAACCTCTGCCTCCTGGTTTCAAGTGGTTCTCGTGCCTCAGCCTCCCAAGTAGCTGAGACTATTAATATAAAAATTAGCCCGGCTAATTTTTGTTATTTTTTGTAGAGATGGGGTTTCACCATATTGGCCAGGCTGGTCTCGAACTCCTGACCTCAGGTGATCTGCCTGCCTTGGCCTCTGAAAGTGCTTGGATTATAGGTGTGAGGCACCGTACCCAGATTTTTTTTTTTTGAGACGGAATCTTGCTCTGTCACCCAGGCTGTAGTGCAGTGGCCCGATCTCAGCTCACTGCAACCTGCCTCCTGGGTTCAACCTATTCTCCAGCCTCAGCTTCCCAAGTAGCTGGGATTACAGGTACATGCCACTACGCCTGCCTAATTTTTCTATTTTTTGTAGAGACGGGGTTTCGCCATGTTGCTCAGGCTGGTCTCCATCTCCTGGCCTCAAGTGATCCACCCATCTCAGCCTCCCAAAGTGCTGGAATGACAAGCGGGAGCCACTGTACCCAGCCTAAGGGCCCTAATATTTATGAAATGGTAAATGAGCACGGGCTTCATTTTAAAGTCACCAGCTCCGTCAGCCTGTTCTTTGAAGTGTTGAGACCAGGCATTGACTTCTTCCTCTAGCTATGAAAATCCTAGATGGTTAGCATCCTTTTCCAATAGAAGACTGTTTCATCTACACTGGAAATCTGATGTTTATTGTAGCCACATTCAGCAATTCTCTTAGCTAGATCTTCTGCAGCTTCTCCATCAGCACTTGCTGTTTTACCTTGTACTGTTTTTTGTTTGTTTGTTTGTTTGTTTGTTTGAGACAGAGTTTTCGCTCTTGTTGCCCAGGCTGGAGTGCAATGATGCAATCTCGGCTCACTGCAACCTCCGCCTCCTGCCTTCAAGCGATTCTCCTGCCTCAGCCTCCCGAGTAGCTGGGATTACAGGCATGTGCCACCAC